AGGAAATTTAATTAGCCATTAGCTGAAATATAAATGATAAATATAATTATTATGCTGTAAATTTTATATTTTCTGAGATAATTTGTTTTTATATTATTATATATTTATGTTTTTGATATAATAGATAATAAAATATTTTAAATTTGATAGTAGAATGCGAGTAGTCTACATAAAATAATGACATATATTATATTTCATATATAAATATGCGGAAATAAGAAATCGCTTTTCATCTAGAAAAACCACCCATAATACAATAAATACTCATATAATTTATAAATTAAATATAAATAGATATATACATTTGGAATATATGGCGCACATCTTACCTTTTTAGAACAATTATAATCAGTTGTATAAAGAACAAATTAGGCTAGTAAATATTAAATCTAGAGAATCAAATATTAAAGGACTACTATTTGTACAAATAAATGTAAAAGAGCAGAAAATACAAGATCGCCTAAAACGAAGTGTCATCGACTTGATTCAAGAAGATGGTAAAACTTTTGACAAACAACTAAACGCATTAATAAATGATACCAATTTTCGAAAACAACATGATTTGGTATCACTCTATAACAGTCTTGTAAAATATATTAATTCACGAAATATTATAGACAGAATGGAAAGTTCATTTAGCATATCACAAAATGATGTAATGCTTAAAAATCAACATAACAGTGAACCCTTCCATATAGATGATAATTATCGTATTTCCTCAGAATAACTACAACTAGATGTTGACAATAGAAGAAAGGATGGAATTTCAATATATTATAACGATTTAATAGGGAAAACTTTATCCAAACAAAAATCACTCGACGAGTTTTGTTAATCGGACATAGAATTGAAAAATAGAAATAAATCGAGATTTATAAAAATGTTAGTAAAAATAGACACTAAGGATGAGCTAGAACTATTGCGATTTTTAAAAACGCATTTTAATAGCAATTGAGGATTATTTAATTCCTCTGGAAAGTTACAAAAAATTCTATATATTATCAAATGATGTAAAACATTTTCTCCAATTTTAATGAGCTCAGCAGTTTTTATTACATTTTTAATACCTGTTTTAAACGAAACAACTTTATCATTATGAATCGTCATGTGTATAATAATTGCCAGCCTAGCTCAAGGAACATTATTTTCATGTGGGACATATTTTATGTACGAATTAATGAAATTGGTACATATGAGGGATGTTTATGAATACTTTATCAAAAACCATTGTTATCTCACAATTTATGATACTAAAAAAGGATACAAATGCATATATTATTTTATTTAAAATGACAATCTTAGAAATATATAAAACTTTTTCTCATTAAATGTGTGTATATATAGTGTCCTAATTGATTGTCATTTTTTTAAATATAAACTTAGCACCATTTTAGTTATTTGAAGCTATGTTCATTTAACCTAGTTTTTCATTTAAGTATAACAGCTCCATTTATAACTATAAGATGTTTTTTCATTGTTAATCTGGAATAATCTATATGAATGTACGGATGTTTAAAAAAGAACCATTACTAATTTGTTTTTAATAATTTCAGAATTTGTTCTTACAAAATATTTGTATTTTTTCTTTATATTTTTTCATTTATTAAACAATATACGTGATAACATCCCGTGCAACTACATTATATTATACACTTCCGATCCATTACTTTCAAAAAGAATAAAAATAAATATATAAAATGTCATTTTTTTTCGTTCTTTCATTTCCTTTATTTTTACAATCTACTATATCTAATCCTAGGAGAGTGTCAAAAAAAATATATGTAAAGGTTTTCATATCTACGATTAAAACCTAATATAATAAATCCATTAAATTTTTAGAACATTTCTTCTACTTTTAAAACATATAAAGAAAAAAATGACAAATATATTATGGAACATAAAAAAGATTGTGCACATGAAAAGTATCTTTATTTGAGAAAAACTTTTACTAAATTTTACATGGTTAAATTTAGCTTGTTCTTTATATTAAGGTAGGTTATAATACATGCCATATGTTTGATTTGGAAAAAAATAGAAAGCATATGCTAATATTACTCTTTCAAAATTATAAAGAAATAGAAGCAATCCGCTGTACAATATACATAAATATATTTAACTATTATTATGTTTCCTTAACTTTTAACTTTATAATTATCAATTTTGTTATAATATACATACAAATAATATTTCTATAATTAGACTTGACGAAGAGGTACTCATAAGAATAAATTTATCGAAATAATTTTTCTTATGCAAAAGGAAACATCTTAAAACCTCTCTAATATATTATAAATGATTAGCGCAAAATATGTTCAAAGGTTGCACAAGAGAGATATATAAAGATTTATTTAACACATCCTCAATTAGAATATTATTACACATCATTCAAATCAAATATTTTATTTTATATATAATTACTCTTCACATAGGTAAAAAGGTACATTTTTTAATGATTGCCAATCTAAAGAAATGTATAAATGTAATGTGTTGAACATACTTGCATGAATAATCTATTTGCCTTCTTTACAAAAAAATAAATGAACTTTTCAAATATGTGAAAATATGATTCACTCACTTTAGATTGCCTAAACTGTACACCTCTATTATCAAAAAATTGGTAGATTGTGCTCTATATGTATATTTATGAATTGGGTTATAATAAACTCAAAGAACTTTTAGATAAATTAGCACCACTAATTTCCTTAACACATTCTGAAGAAACAATAAACACCGTAAACGTTCCTATAATAATTGCACATTATCACTTATACTTGTGTTCCTAATAAAAGAGAGTGAATAGATTTAAAGGGGAAAACGGAAATTTAATAAAAATTCTAAACACTTGCAACCATAAAATACATTCCCGCAGAAAAAAATAAATCCAATGAATTAACGTAATTAAAAGGTTTTGAATAAACGTACCTAATATGTACATTAAATAAATTAAGTAAAAAAGAAACAATTTCCTTATAGTGTTTCATACAACTTTGTAATTGATATCTCTACGATATATATATCTTTACAATTTTGTAAAGTCTATGATAGGTGCAATGGTATGTACAAATGAACTTTAAAAAAAAAAATTCATATTTTATATTTTTTTTTTCAGGGTCCACAATTAATGTATCACTCATATATATTTTTAACTTTAATAATGTAGGCCCTATTTATAAGTTTACACAGATATACATACACATATAAATATATGAAAAGGCGTATTTACTTGATAAAAAATGTATAATGGAAAATAATTCACACTTTTTAAAACATATTTAAGGAAAGTATAACATGTCTGAACGATATTTGTTTTTACCCCTTTAATTGAGTAAACATGTAAAAAAAACAAACGAGTTAATAGTTACATAAAAAGAAGAAAGCAAATGTTTGAATATTTTTCATGGTATTTTTTCATTTATTTTTCATTATTTTTAGATAATTTGAGATGATTTCATAAAAAAATATAAAAAAAAAAAGTTCTATGATTTTCTCAAATACTTGAACCTTTTATACTTATCTATATAAATGTAATAGCATAATTGACATATTTATCAGAAGTTGTAATTTGAATGTGCTAAAATTGTAAAGGCACGCCGTTTTATGGTTTTACTTTTAAAAAATACGAATATTTTAACTGTTATACTTAAAATTCCACAAAGAAATCTTTGTTCACGAAAATTTTCAAATGTTCTGCATATTTAGTAATAAAAAGTTGTTTGTAACTATCTGTATTATGCATGGATTTATAGAAGCCTATAGCCATGTTAATAAATTCAAAATGTTTCTTTAATATAAAATAGTTCAAAAACATATTCTTAATGTGTTAATTATTTTTTATTTTTAACAGTATTATGATTAATTCTAAAAACATGTATATGATGATGTGCTAGAAGAGTCAATAAAGAAACACACAAATTTGATGATATTAAAACACCTTCGTAAGCATAATAAAAATATTCACATTTAATAAAACGAAAAAATGAAGCAAAGCTTTTTTATATATTTGCTCGACATTAGAATAACGATTTATGTGACATAAAGAGAAATGCAAATTTCTACATTATTGAATTATAGAAGCATTAGATACATATATAGATTTATATATATAAATCTATATATGGAATACATTATTACGTGTATATATATATCACTTATACGTAGTTTTTAGTGCCTTTATCAGTTTTTTCGTGCAATTATTTACGAATCAGTTTATACTTTACGCACGTACATGAGGTGCATGATACTACATTTGTACATATTTGTACAATTGATTTATGTTTTTATTTTCCTGTTTATTTGTTAGATTATTTTATTTCATAATTTATTAGTTTATCATTTTTATTATTTATTATTTTTCCTTTTATTATTATTAATAAGCTTATTTTTTTTTTTATTATTGATTAGTTTTTCTTTTATTATTATTAATTAGCTTATTTTTTTTTATTATTTATTTATTTTTTCTTTTCTTATTATTTATTATTTTATTTCACTGCTTATTGTTTGCTTCTTTTCTTTTTTTCGTTTATTATGCGGATTATTTTACTATTTATTTATCCATTCTACTCACCATTGGGAACATTCTCCTTCACATACTATTGCACAATTGAATAATTCAGTATATATGCAAAATTAGTTTTATTTAAGGAAATTTTTTTTAATTAAATACGATATAAATTATTTTATGAAATAATTTCATTCTTTATCCATACTTTATATTTATTATATTTGATCATATTCAATAGAACATATTTTGTAAAGTAATTAAAAGGTATCTAGATTTTATAAAATTTGCAAAAAGAATAAAAACTGTATAAATATTACAATAGTTGTAAAATTAAAAGAAAAAAAAATATATATGTTACATTAATGTTTTATTTGCATACAATTTATCGATAATGAAAGAAAAAATAAATAAATGGCTTATTTTTTCAGCAAGATTTTTTTTTCTTTTATTCCATGTTTTCTACTGGAAATATCCTTTCGAGGTAAACACGGAGGAAAATAATAATTTAACAAATAATTACTTTCTCAATATCGACACAAATCATACATTTCACAAAATATTATGCCTTTTCATTTTATCGAATAAACATATTATATATTCTTTTTTAAAATGATAACAAAAAAATTTTTTTTTTCTTTGTTAGCCATCCACTTTCGATAAATGGTATGCCAGGTACGGATTTAATAATTTTCTAGGGCTGAAGACTAGGAGACTGCTAATGGGAGAACTTGGAGTAAAAGTACAGGATCAAGGGAAAATGTTGAATGAAAAAGAAGTTAATACATTGGTTTCAGATGATAATATGATTAGAAATAGATTAAAGAGTTTAATTATAGACGGTAGATATAAGGAGATATCTGATTCTACATTACTCAATGAATATTATGGAAATTCGCAAGTTGATTTAACGAAATATTCCAAATTAGAAAAAAGCATTGATTCATTAAAAAGAGAAAAAAAATTAAAAAAAAATTTAATTGTAGGGAACTATGTTGATTATACAGGTTCTTTAGATGCCGTAAGTAATAATGATTATTCTAGACATTCACTAAACGTA